AGTGCCCTGGGTCACCCCCATGATTTCCTCTCTGTAATTCTGTGGCATCTTTGATCTGTGCCAGTCCTGAGATATCCATGCTGCCACCATGCAGAACTGCCCTCCATGGGCAGAAACACCACTGTGGGAAATGAAGAAGCTGTGTGGGTGTGCTGGTTTGAGCTGGAGTAGAGTTAACTTTCTTCCCAGAGGCTAGTATGGGGCTATGTTTGGGTTTTGTGCAGAACACAGAGTTGATAATGCAGAGATGTTTTTGTTCTTGCTGAGCAGAGCTCACACAGAGCCAAGGCCTTTGCTGCTTTCCATACTGCCACACTGGCAAGGGAGTTGGGGATGCATGGGAGATTGGGAGGAGACACAGCTGGGACAGGTGACCCAAACTGACCCAAGGGATATTCCATACCATAGCACATCATGCTCAGTGTATAAGGTGGGAGGAAGAAGGAGGAAGGGGGGACATCTGGAGTGATGGTGTTTGTCTTCCCAAGGCACCGTTACGCGTGATGGGCCCTGCTCTCCTGGAGATGCTGAACACCTCCTGTCTGTGGGAAGCAGTGAATTAATTCCTTGTTTTGCTTTGCTTGTGTGTGCAGCTTTTGCTTTCTCTATTAAACTGTCTTTATCTCAACCCATGAGTTTTTGTAGCTTTTACCCTTCTGATTCTCTCCCCCATCCCGTTGGTGGGGCAGTGAGTGAGAGGCTGTTGGTTCTTGGCTGCTGCTGGGGTTAAACCACGACAGTGGGAAACCTCTAGTATAGATAGGAAAGAGAGGTAGGACATTTGCCCCTAAAATGTGCTGCCCTGAACTGCTTATAGTGGTCAGTGCAATGTTAGCCTTGGGTGTACCTTCTCTGGCACATGAAAAATTGTTTGCCTAAAGCGAGAAGTCTGTAGAAACTTTCAACTTTGCAGCTCTGGTTTTATTAAAATGCCTCTTTGAAAAGAGGGCTGTGTAATTTCATCTACGTTAAAGCACAATTTTACATGCTGAATATTGTTTAACAATGCTGAATGCAGGAACTATCATTGCCACTTAAATGTATTGTGGAAGACATGAACACACATTTATTTGTATAATGCAGCCTTGGTTGTTATTGTGGCCTTGACCACATCCTAATTTAAAAGGTCAGTGCTTGACATACATCTCATTGCAAGCAAGGCCAGAGTTCTTATCAATCTGTTCTGTGAGGACTGAGCTGTTGCCAGGTTTCTTGGATGGTTTCAGGTTGTTATAATTGTAGTTAGCCTTGTGTTGATATCAGTGTTAAAATTCCTGTGTTATGTGTGTTCCTTGTACGTATCTTTCTGTTGCTGTTGAAAGATGTGAAAACAGTGCAAGGTTTTTTATTTTTCATTATCTCCATTTTATGCTGATGCAAATGGGGTTAGGCATGTATATAGATGTGTGTTTATGAATATATTTTATAAAAATATATGTGAAAAAGTATGCTTTGGGGATTGAGACAAAATTGCAAATTAGTTTTTGAAGGCTAAGGTTACTTATTACGTAAATACTTTTTGCTTAGATATTTTATTCAAATCTTTGTATCATCATAACCATATATCAAGGCTGGTATCACTGTGGTATCACTGAGATTTTGAATGAAAAGGTTTGAAAGAAAGGCCTTTTCATTATTAAGATGGTTGAATGTACCTGTCTGTTATATGTACATGTTATGTTCTGGAATTTGTGATGCATACAAAGGGAATATTTTTATTTATCATCCCCGTATTTTTAGATGCTTGAAATGAGATAGTAGATTCATTTAAACGGACAACTTATTGTATATGTGAACAACATTCAGCCTAAATAAGTATCCTTTCCAGATTAGTTAAGTATTGCAAATCCTCTTAGTCTAACTGGGCATACAGGTGCTCATACCTTCAGATAATCAGATAATGGATTTTAGATGTTTGCCTGTAGATCCATCAAATTATAAATGCTGTTTATTAGATGAAATTCTTCATCAACTGTGGAAAATCCAGACCTGACTCCTATCATTCTGGGCATGCACTACAGCCAGCAGACAGCAGTGATAGCCTCTGCCTCTATTTAACCATTGGTTCTTCTGGGCATTGAAAAGAAATATCTCTGAAGCTACATTTTTATCTTAGTCTCTTCATAGCCCATTAGGACTTTCAAAGCCTCTGTCACTTTAGTAAAAGCTTTTGTGGTAACTTCATATTTTCTGCACATGTGTGTGTGTACTTGCATTCATGCTTTCTAGATGATGCATTTTATTGTCTTGTATAAACCTAAACTGTGCAGCAGTTTGGTATCTCCACCTGTTTGGTAATTTAACCATTCTCTGTACTGTAAAATTCCTTAATCTGTTATATTTACAGTGAACTGAAAAAAGGTGGAACTGCTTTCAAATAAAGAGAAGCAATTCTGATTTCATGTCTTATCTGTGATAACTACTTTCTCACATCATGTAGCTGCAAGCTTTCCAACGTTGTTAAAGTGAAACCCATGAAATGAGGAGATTGGCTCTAAAATCTTAGTTTAAATGTTTTTATTCTTTATGGAGAAGTTGATATGGGAACTTTCGAGTTTCCCTCTGGTTCTCTAGAAGATGCTTATAACCACTCTGGAGAGAATTCACAAATAAACCTTGTGATTTTCAGGTAATCACTTCCCTTCCATAAGCTGAGCCCTTCAATAAAATACCAAATGTCAGAAGACTCTCAATAAAGTCAAGAAAGTTAGAAATGTTGACATATGCAATAACTGATATGCTGCTCTGTATGTGTTGCCCTTATTTAATATAGTAGGAAATCTCCATGGGGGTTGTTGGTTTGGACATGCATACATACAGCTTATTCATCTCTAAGAAAATTTCCCACAAGGCTGACACACGGTTCTGTTTTCTCAATTTGTTGCTTCATCTTACCATTTGTAAAGCATTTTTCATTAGAAATGCTATTTTACTGAGGTTTCTATAGAGTAAACCTGTTCTGAAGCAGACATCAATATTGCATTAAGGATTCTCTTAAATAAGTTTGCCATTACTCATAGTCAGTGCTTGGTCTGATTATTTTGCCCAATAATCTTCTCATAATTGAAAAATTGTATGTGTTAAATTCTGAACCAAGACTGATGCTCTGTCTGAAGTGTATTATTATTGATAACAAAGTTTCTAAAAGTTGTACACCTCTTTCAAATTTGTTGTGTTTCTGGTTACCTGCAGGCACTTGACTATATAGTAAGACAAAGGAGATGTTTATGTCACAAATGACAACTTTCTAGTTTCTAAAACTTATCTTCAATATATAAAGCTTGTGAAAAACCTTTTATCTTGCAGATATTTGTGAGCCATTATGATCTCTTTCTACTGCAGAAATTATAATGGCAAACAAAACAGGAGATGTTTGTTTGGAGGAAAAGCACAGATAAAAAGACAAAAAGTGCTTTAACAAAAGCAAGTCTGAGACAAGCTGTTTCAGTCCCAGGTTCAGACAAGTGGTTATGCTCCCTAACTTTGCCATGATTAAACTTTCATGTTTTTATTAGAAGTAGAAATTTTAAGGAGATAAAAATAATGCTTTCTTTCTTTTTAGGTGAAACTCTTTTATTAAAGCAACAAGAAAAGTCCATAGCATTCTCTGATTTTTGTGACACTTTATTTTGCAACTTGAAATCACAAAATCTGAAGAAAGTAGTAATGTCAAATGAAAAGTGATATCTCTACAAAAGTAAACTTTTTTATATTCCTAAGTTGGAATCCAACCATTCTGCCAGATCTTGACTGGTAATGCTCTGTGTTCCCAGAAACACCATCCATTTTCACTTGCTCTTAGTATTGGCCTCAAAGTTTCAAATTGTCACCTCATTAAGATCCTTCTCAGAGATACAGGAGCCCCCACTGTCCACCAGAGACTTGCTAAATTTATCTCTTTGATCATATCAAACCAGAAAATATTTCCCCTGTCTCTCAGAAAAGCAAGGGGTGCAAGCCTGAGCCAACAGCAAAATAGGATGGTTCCACGAAGGGAGAGCATCACTTGAGTGTATTGGTGAGGTTCAAAAGAGCTGCTGTGCTCCCTCTCACCTCAGATCCTCAGTGGGGTACAAAACGTGGCATTACCATGGCTAGAATAACTTACAGAGTCTGAAAATCTGTTCCACTGTCTTAATTTGCATTTCGGTGTTATAATAAAAGCATAACCCATTCTGGACCAATGTTTTCCTGTTACATCTCAGAAATGGTAGGTCAGAAACAGAATCTGTAGCACAGGCCACTGTTATGCATCAGAATTTAACCTAACTGTTGTGAAAGAGCTACTTGCACTGCATGTTGAAACAAATAGAAGTGTATGTGTGTGCTGGTTTGAGCTGAAGTAGAGTTAACTTTCTTCACAGAGGCTAGTATGGGGCTATGTTTGGGTTTTGTGCAGGACACAGAGTTGATAATGCAGAGATGTTTTTGTTGTTGCTGAGCAGAGCTCACACAGAGCCAAGGCCTTTGCTGCTTTCCATCCTGCCACACTGGCAAGGGAGTTGGGGATGCATGGGAGATTGGGAGGAGACACAGCTGGGACAGGTGACCCAACCTGACCCAAGGGATATTCCATACCATAGGACATCATGCTCAGTATATAAGGTGGGAGGAAGAAGGAGGAAGGGGGGACATCTGGAGGGATGGTGTTTGTCTTCCCAAGGAACCGTTACGCGTGATGGGCCCTGCTCTCCTGGAGATGCTGAACACCTCCTGTCTGTGGGAAGCAGTGAATTAATTCCTTGTTTTGCTTTGCTTGTGTGTGCAGCTTTTGCTTTGTCTATTAAACTGTCTTTATCTCAACCCATGAGTTTTTGTAGCTTTTACCCTTCTGATTCTCTCCCCCATCCCGTTGGTGGGGCAGTGAGTGAGAGGCTGTTGGTTCTTGGCTGCTGCTGGGGTTAAACCACGACAATGTGTATGATAGCAACTTAAACCGTGGCTTTTTTGTGGGTATTTTTCTGCTTTGTTAAAGACATTTTCATTTTTTTGTGTTGTAGGCAAGCACCAAGACATACTCCCAGAGTGGCAGGCACTCCGTATCGGTAGAAGTTCAAATGCAGCGGCAGCGGCAAGAGGAGAGAGAGAGTTTCCAACAAGCTCAGAGGCAGTACAGCTCATTACCCAGGTATGGGATCTGTCTGAAACTATTCTGTGCATATGAGCCTCCAGCTAATTTCATTTGTGGAGGAAAATGTTGTATTTAGTGGAGACACTTTTGTTTAGCATTGATATAAGGTGGAATGTATTCACTGTGGAAGAGGCATAAAATTTCTTAAGTGAGAGCATGTGGTAGCTGTTTATTTTAGGAGAATTGCTTCAGAGCTGATTTCAGTGGGATTTGATGGCACTCAGCACCCAACAGAATTGAGACATTAAAACAAAGCTATTCTTTGTGGGACACCATCCAGTTTAATTTTCTGCAATTACAAAAGTCTCCTGAGCATGACATGGGTTGTCCCCTTTTGACATGTAAGATGATTATTTTTTTTTCTGTTGCCTAATTCCTTACTGGGTAGAAATTCAATCTTTGTGATGCTAATACAGAGGAAAAATTAAAAGAAAAAAAATTCAAGACCCACAACAAAAAGAATATGGAACTGAGAAAATTAATAAAAAATATCAGGGGCCTTCAAGTTTACAGTACATAGATTTCTTCTAAGCTACTGGGTCATTAGCAATGGAATGGTGAAAATGAACACATTTATTTTCTAAACAAACCTGCATTTTTTTTAAAATCTTAGGGTTTGTTTTTTTTAATTAGCTTCTTGGGCAAAATGTCTTTTACTTGATATTTGGCTTTAGGAATTGATAGAAGTTTAATCAACTTCTGTTTTAAATTAACTCTTATAGTTAAGCATTATGTAAATAGTCTTTGCATTTTGAAGTATCAGCAGCAATGGTTGAATGGAGAATTCTTTACACCAGAGGTTGGTGTCAAATTGCTTTCCAACAAGCAATGGCTTGTGTGGAAATGGTGTGGGAAAAATGTGACAAGATGTGCTTTACCAAGTGTTTCATAACTTTGTTTTTCAAACAAATATAAGCCTCATAGTAAAGTTATCTAATCATGAACTCTTACCTTAACAACATCTCTGAAAATGAAACATTTTCAGATTTTCAAATGCTTTAACACGTTTCAGTGTAGAATTTTCTGTTAAGTTTGGAAAGTGGGAAAGGGAAATGTAAAGTTACTGTGTTTTCTGAGATTTGTAGTTTGTTATTTTGAAAAACTTTATATCCCCTTTTCTTCTTATCTCTGCCTTCCTTCTGAAATGGCTGCACCTATTAATGCCACATTGTTTTTCCTGAGAAATTCTCTTGCAGTTCTGCTAGCCCCAGTGATGCACCAGTTGGGTGAAAGGGCACAGATGCTAGTGTCTCTTTTAAGCTGGGCAGGGTTGTTTTTAGTTTTATAACTATGATTCTTAAAACTTGCTTCCCCTGCTCTCCATCACTGGCAGCATTTAAAAGTTGGAAGTTAGTTGCAATGCAGTTCCCGTGGCAGAAATGAATAACTCTTAAGGAGAAAATTCATCTAGAAGAAATATGGAATATAGATCATGGAATAGATCATAGAAATGCTTGTTTCGAAAAAGTGGCTGAGAACTTCACTCAATGTTTTCAACATGAGAAGTGACTAGCAAGCTAGCAATGCATGCTACTGAGTAATTAATGATAATTTAATGGCTTTGTTTGAGCACTCTGGGTATTTCAGCTGTGCTGAGAACAGGCAGAATTGCAAGACCTCGGGCTAAAGTTCAGTACTGTAAATACCACAACACTCCTATAACAAGCTGGGGCATCGAGTTCTCCAGCTCTACAAACTGCTCCTAACTGTGTGACTGATCTTTAAAGAAATCTTGCTGTTACTCTGAAACTTAGGTCCCAAGATTAATTTTGCAACCGTGGCTGTGTAATGATTAAAGTTTGTACATTGGCTTAATTCTTGAGCTGTGTTGCCTTTCATCTTGCATAGTCTCTAGGAGCCTCCTTTTTTTTCCCCTTTGCACATTCACATCTTTAGTACTGAAGGCAAATAAACTCTGGAGTCAATTTTAAAGGGTCTTCCCAGAAAGATAAGGAAAACGTGCCAACTAATTTTGAACAAGTACCAGAAAACAGTCAGTAAATTAAATCAGTTCAACTAGTCATCCTCTTGTCCCATGTGAAACTGTAAAAGCAAGGTTTAACTCCAAGTTAATTTTCTACTACTTAAAATTTATCTTGCTCTAGATCAGAAACCTGACAGTTTCGTAGCCTACAGAGGTTCATTCAATTTACTCTTGTTCCAGGGAGTGATAAAACATGACTCAGAAACATTGTTTCTTTGGCAAAGTTGGATATGAGAAAACCAATAACAGCTATAAAAATTTGTGTAAGAATTCACATTATGTTGTAATTTTTACTGTAATAATTGACATTCATCCTGAACAACATTTTTCATCAAGAGGTCTCAAAATCTGGTATGAAATAAGGTGGATATGGTAATTTTCAAATTACACATGTGGAAGGAAGATTGCAAAAACATTGGGTGACATTTTTGCTTTTACTAATGGTAGAAAAATTCTCAAGGTCTTCTGTCTCTCCACTTCATACTTATTGGATGAGGCCACATTGTCATATGTGTTGACATGAAAAACCAAGTCATATATAAACAGCTAAATTGTGCTCTTATTGATTAATGTAGCAATATATTTTGTTTTATTGCTTGATTCTCATAGACTAATTTTAATCTCAAAGTGGGTATCTCTTTTGCTGCAGCACAAAATAATTTTACTTTATCATCACCAATCTTATTTTAGGATCATACAAGCACCTAGCAGCTTGGTAGTAAATTAAAGTGATTTCAAAACCTTAATGCGTCTTCAAAATAATGTGATGATTTATTGTGAAAAGAGATAAGAGTTTGTAATTCCTAGAAGTATTTAGTTTGTTTATCTACTCCCTGGAACCAAAAAGTGAGCAAAAAAAGGTTATCTCTGCCTTTTCTTTTATGAAGGCTATAGCAGACTGGGAAATAGTCCTCGTAGCACAAAATTCCTTAGTTCTGGAAATGGGAGGAAGAAACTGTGTAACAGGTATATCAGTAACAAGCTTTATCTTCTGACTTTTGCAGTGTTAGAGCAAGTGTTTTAAGGACCTGCCTGTTGCATTTTTAATCAATTGTGAGCCTACATTCACATCTTTCATGAGTGACTTTACAAGTGCTGGCTGTTACCTGGTTTCTAAGGAAGCACAGCAACATGTATGGTCTTTCCTAGTCTGCAACTGAATTGTAGCATTTTATTTTTTTTTTTAGAACATGAGCATAGTTGTAGCACTAGATGGGTTTTCATGGCATATTCCTCCTGTAGAAGCCTAGAAATACAGTTCAACTCTCTAAGAAATGTTTTCCACAAGAGACAAGATGCCTCTTTGAGGCAGAAGAGAACCTGACTTCTGGAAAATTCACTAGCTGGGGCAAACCTGATGGCATTGCAGAAGCAGCCTTCTTTCCAGGGATTGTCAAGAGCAGTATAAGGGAAACCACTACATTTCTCTTAAAAGTCTCTTTCATTTTTGTTTTTCAGGCAAAGCAGAAAAAATGCCAGTTCTGTATCTCAAGACTCCTGGGAGCAGAGTTATTCCCCTGGAGAAGGGTTCCAGACTGCAAAGGAAAATCCCAGATATTCCAGCTACCAGGGATCAAGGAATGGCTATATGGGGGGACATGGCTTTAATGCCAGAGTAATGCTAGAAACACAAGAACTGCTCCGTCAAGAGCAGAGGCGGAAAGAACAGCAACTGAAAAAAAAAACTTCTTCTGAAGGGCCTAGCAACTATGACTCATATAAGAAAATTCAGGACCCTAATTATACCCCTCCTAAAGGTCCTTTCAGACAAGATGTACCACCTTCACCATCTCAGGTAGCGAGGCTGAACAGATTGCAAACACCAGAAAAGGGAAGACCATTTTATTCTTGAGGTGAAGAAAATGAAGATTGACTTACCATGCAATAAGGAACATTTTCATATAAAGACTTACATTTTGAAAACTTTTTAAACTGATGGTACTAAGGAAAATATCCGTTGTCTATTTCAGTGCCTTTGAAAATATGAGCAAAGCGTTGGTGGACCTTATGTCTTTGCCATTCTGTCTCAAGTGTTGAATTATTTGGAAGGATCTTCCACCATTTGACAATCATAGTGGAAATGAGCAATGCTGCCCCTGTGTTCCAAGTCCCATAGCCCAGTTCAGTAGTTGTCAATGGCTTTTTGCTAGGGTTTGTTGTAATGTGTTTTACTTTGCAGTGACTTATTACACCAACGTTCAGATTTGTGACATAAAATTAATGAATTTGAGTTTGAAGGAAGCATTGACATGTCCTTTTTTTATTTCTCTTGGGTCAGGAGGAGGGTTACATATCGCTCTTGGGTGGATAAAGCTTAGCTCTACTCTGGATCACAGTCAGAGTTCTGATATGTTTTATGGTGGAATCATTACCAGTCTTTGTTGATCAATATTTAACTGTCTATATACTGAAAAACTATCCTTCTTCTATAATGCACATATGCACTCTTTTTTTTCTCTCTCTCCCCACTCTGAGCTTATTAAAAAAGCCTTTATCCTGACTCATGAGGAAAACAATATTAAGCTTTCAGTTATCCTGAGAGTCCTGTTACAATTGCCTTATAATCTTAATACACAGTCCATTACAAATGAAATAACTGGAGAGAGATTATTTATACAGTCACAGCCAAGCCTTTGATGAGTATATTTTACTATTTTATTAAAGATGGGAAATTATGAACAAACGTACAACTGAGTTCTGCTTTGCTTTGCTTCTAAATTAATTTTGTCATATGACACTTGTATTTAGGATGAGAACTAGGGAGGGTATCATCCCATGGTCATCTGATACATAGTTGTCTTTGGGCAAATTTTGGAGAGAGCCTAAAGCAGGAGCAGAAAAACTGTAAAGAAAATGATTCCTTCTTCTTATAATTTGTGAAGCTTTCTGGACAATTTCCTTTGTGCTTCCATATACTGTATCGTTGCATTGTGATGCTACATTAAAAACAAACCCTTAAGTATATGAATGAGAGATAAGTGGAGATGAACTGTTACACATCATCCTGAAAACGTCAGTATCCAAAAATAACTAAAGCAGAAGAGATTGCTCTAGCAGTGAGCAATATTTGAATGTGCATATGGGATATGAGAATCTCTTTTGCAGCAGCTGTTTTTATGTTTGTTAGTCTGAACTTCATGTATTGTAAAAAATATAGCTGGGTTGCTGAAGTGCCTGCAAATCCTGATGTGAAAAGGCTTGAGAATGGATCTCAGCATATTGTGTACAAAAAGGAAAGAGAGAAAGCAAGGAAGAAAATCATGTATTGAGTGATTTTAAAAGAAAAAAAAAAAAGCCTATTTTTTTTTACTGGCACATTTTATTTTTGCGCCAACTTGTTTCTAGAATATATGTGAAATATCAGCACACATATCTGTGTCTTTTATGCCTGTTTGTTAACAGTTTTTGTTGTTAATGATGTACTCCATGTTTAAAAGTTCTTATTAGTGTAAGCACAGTGGCATTGGATGACAATAGCTCTTTTACGCAGAATTTACAAAACTGTGTAAAACAGCTTTCGGTGTACATATGAAATTTAGAATAAAAGGCTGTTTCCATCCTTGTCTTGGTATTGCCTCTAGACCCCTATGAGGGCTGCTGTAGACACTGAGTTTTAAACACACTTAACAGATGCTATTTTATCCTATTCCTAATGGCTTGCGTGTGTCTTTCTGTGAGCGCTTATAAACATCAGGAAAAAAAAAAAAAAGAGAAGAAAAAAGATTTACAACCTAGCTGAACACCTGAAGACTATCCTCAGAGGTAAAAAACACAGTTTAATGTCTTGTGTTATTTTAGGCCATATCTGTGACATTTAAAAGGCACATTTTTAAGACTAACCTCTGTGGCAAATCTTCCCTGCTGTAGCATGGAGTCCTCTCCCTGGGGAGAGCACTCACAGAAGGACATCCACTGCACTCTGGCCAAATCTGGGCATGTGTGAGGAAGCCCTCTCTGCACTGTGTGTGTGTTTTGGGCTCTGATGGGAGCCCTTCACAGGAAGGTTGACGTGGTGAAAAACAGAAGAAGGCAGATTTATGAATAAAACAATATTTACAGTGCCAGTGATACTCTTGTGTCCCCCATTAGTATTGGAGCTGAGTCTGGTTTTCTCCCTCTTCCCTTAATTTCTCCTTTTCTTGGTTACTGCAGTAGTGTCAATCATAATTCTGTGTATGCATGACATCAAGGTGTTGCCATGGCAATAATAGTGTCAAATTATTCACTGTGACTTTAGTGTGGGATCTCAAGGGGAAGAGTAGCAGGAGCTGTAAGGTGGACAGGCAGGTTTTGATACTCAAATAAGGTAAAGGCAGGATTTTGCAAAAGACCTGAAAAGTAGTGGCGTGCAGTTACGAGTGGGGAAATAATTGCAATAATTGCATTTGCAGTTTTGCAGGCCTTGCTGTCTCATCTCTTGACTGCATTCCCAGGTTTCATAGTTTTATGTTTCTATGGATATATTTGCACAGGCAAATAATTGCAAGCACTAAAAAAAATGCATCCAGAGGAATGGGAAACAGGTTGAAGTCCTTATCAAAACAGGGCCTTTGATAAACTGTTATAGGAAAAAGGGCATGTGTTTGGAAAAGTATGAAATACGGGATGTTTTATGTGTGAGGATGGCATATGTTAAAGTTTACCCTTCTATGAAACTCCTCTTCAAGGTGTTAACAATTTGCCATAATTAGATGTGTTCATGAAAGAAGGCAGATGTTCTCTTTGGGCTGTGTCTGTGTTATGTTAGGAAGAATAAGGTCTTTTTCTGGCTTCGTCATCCTGTCTTCTTCCTGACATAGCATAGACAGGATTTCTAATATTAACTCCCATGAGTTGCAAAGGGCAATAAGGAGGTGGGAGGGAGATATTTTAATAGAAAATGACCTTTAGTTCTGCATAGTGAATAGATTCAAAAGTTAATTGGGCTAACTACATTACTGCAGTAATTTGTTTGTGGACGCATTACCATTATGAGATTAGCTCCGTAACATTAGTATATTTGAGAATGGTCACAGACTGTAAGGGAGCTTACAGCATCGAGGAGTGGGTGTACAGCTTGCACATTTTGCTCTGTTGAAACCCTGAGGAAACCATCTGCAAAGCCTCCTGGTTTTTTATCAGAATAGTTTGTTAATGCCATTGAAATTCCATGGGAAAGTTTAATATTACTAGTGCAGAAGACTACTGCCTTTCTCAAAAAATCTCCTTCCCCTCTTCTTATAGGGCCTCCTTGGAAACAGGAGTGCTGCCCTAGTGAGTTATTGCACGGGCCAGAGAGTTTAATATATATCTTTGAGAACTCTGCCATCAAAAACAGCAAAAAATGGCATAGAGCCCAGCTGAACATGGTCAGAAAGTACAATTGCCATTTATTGCTCGCAAACAGCAGGAGGAACAACAAAACAAAATTTAGACCCATCATGACTGTAGATAAATGGGCTGCCTTTCAAAGCTGCACTGATGTTTCGGTCACGTTCCCTCTGTTTACGAGTGTCTATAATGCTGAATTTATCTGTTCTGGGTATGTTGAGAAGAGAAGGGAAGAAACCTTGGCCAGACCAGGAAGATGCACCAGATTAGCAGTGTTGGCTAAACACAGGATATTCTTGAGTAATTCAGACCTTTGAACTTGTGTTGTTGAGACTTAAAGTGTGTTTGACTATTGCATGTCCTGGCTTGCAAGTCTATTTTCAAAATATTTCCTAATTCTATTTGCTGTGCCTGACTGTTTCTACATCTTTCTCTCCTGAGTCCTCAGTCTCGTTAACAGGAGTTGTGAGGAATCTGTCAGGAATGCAGATGCAGGAAAAAAAACTAATCTATTTTTGATGCCACTGTTGTGCCACCACACCCTTCCAGGCTCAATTTAAAATTCAGGCCTAGCTTGGTAAAGGAAGAGTGAGGGTCAGAGCCCCATGATGGGAGACTGACTTTGTGATAGTAGTGTTTGTGTGTGTGTGTGTATATGAGAGAGAGAGAGGCACAGACTGGATTCATTTGCCTTTAATTCATGTCCAGCTTGAAACTCGCTTCAAAAAAAGTGTTGTAGCATTACTTCAGCACTTTTTCCATCTGTGCAGAGAACAGCTATGATTTGATGCACATGGTTATTGTTTCATGCCCTCTTGTACATCTCTTCTATTTTATATCAGCATCACAGTCTCTCTTTTACATCTGCTGTTTAATTCTGTGGCATTTATTTGTTTCTCTAAATGGCATGCAATTCATTCATATCCTAGGCTGCTTCTTGCCAGTGATTGATTTTTCTCTCTTAGATTTGCAAACTTATTTTAATATTTTTCTGTCCTTTTGAGTCGTATTATCTTTTGTAATTTACACTTTAATCACATTTTAAAAATTGAGGCTGGAAGCTTGAGTTGAGATTACACAAAAGCAGACTAAAGAACATGGTTTTGATTTCTGTTCTGTGTGCAGCACACACTTTCCAGGCACTTGTAAGGACTGGACAGAGTACTGACTGAATGAGAAGAAAAGAAATTAAGGAAAGTTTGGAAAATATTTATGCCATTCTATCTACTGTGAAAAAGAATAATAGTTCCTTAAAACTGTCACTCTCTGCCTGACTGACTGATGCTTTCAGAGCTCAAACAGACATGGCTGTGGTTTAAAGACAGACAGATGGAAAAGGAAGCTGCTTGTGCCCTTCCAAACAATGCCAGGACCCACTTCCCTTGCAAACTGACTCCCAAAATTCTGTTTTCAGCTGCACATCTTACAGCAACCACGGTCTGGAATGGGCTTACATTCACACATTGAGCTTTCAGTGCAGTGACATCTGTCAGAGAGGGAGAGATGACAGCCACGGGTGATAATAACTTCAGCTACCCAATTTTAATCTGCCTGTTTGTTGGAGTAATCTTTGTCCTAGAAAAATAAGGAAAGAAACGAGGAGTGATGGGGCGATGTAAAATGTGAACAAAAATGTTTTCTGCTTCCCTTACACTATTGTCACCTTTACAGCCACTGGTATT